TATATATATATATATATATATATATATATATACACACATATACCAATATAGATATCTATACATATACCGATATAGGTATAGATCTATTCAGACACATGCACACACCCCAGCACGCCTATACCATATATAATTTCAGCAGGGTACTGATTCTACATATTCTGTAATATGTAAAAATTTGTATTGAATTTGTAATGTGTAGGAATCAAAATGTCTGATGTACCTATTGGCAGTGAAATAAATTCTGGAAAATGCTTTAGTATTATGTTTGGAGAGATTCATTGCTACAGCTAAAGATGTCTTCTAGTTGTGGGGGGGTTTTTTGTTTTTGTTTTTGTTTTGTTTTTTAGAGTTGTACTTCTGTTTGTAAACTGAAAATGAAAGCTGGGAGTCTTTCCAGAGCAGCCTCTGTTGTTCCTTTTAATGATTGATTATAGATTAGTTTGGGCTTGAAAGAACCATCCCTTATCACATTTCCTTTCCTTTTTTAGCTGTCCTTTAATGCACTACCTTCAGCTTATGGCCATCAGGACATAACAAACTGTAGTATTTTCTTTAGTTTTTTGTTTTTAATTTGTCTCTTTCACAATTGCTTAGAAGTATAGAGTTAGGCTGTCACTTCATTTTGTTCCACAAGTTCTATCCATGTGTCTACTTTTAAAAATAGTGTTAAACCTTGCAAATAAAGGGTTGTTTTTTTTTAACAAAGAAGTTTGTAAAAACTTTGTACCATGTTAAAGTAATATTTAAAGGACATTTCGGAACATTTCTATATGTTAAACAATATGTGCTGTAGTTCTGGGAGGGATAGCTTGAATACATAAAATATTTTGAAAACTGGCTAAACTTCTAAAGTATTACAAAACGTTTCTGTACTGTGAACGTGGGTCACGATTTCAACACTTGGAGAAAAGTATATCTCACTACTAATCTGGGAACAAAGCTGGTGAAACAAAGCTGCCCTTATCTACTTTGTTAGTGACAACTTTGATATTTAAATACTGCTGTTGAATTGATTTGTGGAAGTTTAGTTAATCATTTATGTACCTAGCCTTTTAACATCATGTATATAAACGCTGTTTATCTGTTACGTTGGGCATCTTTGGCAGTTATGCAGAAAAAAAGCAATGCAAATAGAATGAGCAACTTATTTGCATCTCCAAATATTCTCCCTTCCTAAAAGCCTCAAGGGAAAAACAGGCCTTGTAGGGATCTTAGTCCACAGGGTTGCTTCTTGGTTCTGTGAGCTAAGATCATGTACTTAAAGGCCTACTGATTTTGGTTCTTTCAAACTAAGAGTTGAGGAGTAACTTCCCAAAGTGGTGGCAGCTATCTGAAATAGAGTGGGCTCAACACTAAAACAGCAGGATTCAAACTTGAATGCCACCTCTATTTAGAGAATAAGAGCAACAAAGAAGCTCCTTAACCTTGAGACCTGAAAACTTTTCACACTGACTGTAATTGCAACCTTTAGCTGTCTTCCGCTATTTCGACCTACAGGATCTATATAATCTTCTTCATTTTATTTAGCAACAGCCTGCCCAGTTTACCAATCCAGAAACTCCTGGTTATGTTGGATTTGCAAACCTTCCCAACCAGGTTCATCGGAAGTCTGTGAAAAAGGGCTTTGAGTTTACTCTCATGGTAGTTGGTAAGAGAACATATTTTATAGTCTCTTTCTTGTAACAAATATTTAATTACAAAAAATCAATTGTATGAATACAACCTCTTCTGTACCCCATAGTCTTATGTCTTTGGGTATACCTTACCTCATTTTTTATACGTAATATTAAGCAATCATGTTACAACTGTCTGCCCAGTTGCTTTTCTTCCACACAAGTAATAAATCCGAATATATCCAGAACTTTTGAGCTAATGGGATTTCAACCTTAAAACAGGCTTCTACAAAAAAGCGATTCTACAAATGATTGCAGGATTCAATGCATTATCTCGCTGTTCTGTTTAAAAACAGCAGAGGTGGTTCTAATGAGCAGCCCACCAGAACCATCTGAAAGCAAATAGTTCTCTCTTAAATTGTTGTTGGTAATAAATACTTACAATTGACAGATGCAAAGGGATCTCATCATAGGGGTGAGTATTAAAGTCATGGAACTATGTGGTGGTAGGGGAAGCTCATATACCAACAGACCAGAAGTAACCATTCAAATACCCAGGGTTTTTATCTGAAGAGTATCCATAACATCACTTCTGTCTTGTTTTTGTATTAAATGTGGGACAGACTTGGTTTTCATGTTTTATCAGTATTGCATTTCATAAGAGCTTGCTAGCATTTTCTCAAGAAGATGGCTTTACAAATTTAAATCTGACTTTGCTGTCTGATGAATATAGCCTTCTTGTTCTGATCTTACATTACTCTGGGTTTGTTGAGATCTTAACAAGAAAATTTTAAGTAGATTTTCTTTAAAATGTTTGCTTACACTCTGAAACTTAAGTTTTTATATCTAGTTATAACTTCTTAAAGTTTACCATTATTTCATCTAAAAAATAAACAGCTCTGAGAACAAGAAAAGTTATAGTTATGAGACTCTTAAACGCACTTTATTGGTTGTGGCTAAGCTTAATTCCCAGACTACTCTGACATAAGTTGTTCTGCGTAGTAGTATTTTTAGCTTTAACATAAAGCCAGTGGACTCTAGATTATTAAATCAAACAACACAACTTATGCTCCATTCTGAACAAAATCCATGTATGCCCAATGGACAAAGATAACTCAGTTAAAGAGTTACGTTTCAGAGTCATGTATCCGCTAGTATTTTAAAATTAAAAATAAAAGAAAACTTAAGAGGGACTTCTTACTCCGTTGAAAGAACTTGAGTGATACTTTGGGATGGTGATAGAAGTCAAATATTATGCTTTGCAGTTTTGATTATTTCAGTAATCTGGTTTAAAGGGCTTTGGCATGTAAATTTCTTCTGCTCAGATGTATTTAATTAAGCAACCCTAGGGATTTAACTGTTTTCCTCTGTCGTGGATCATACTTGATGCCAATTTAATACATCAGTCCAATATTGTATTGGCACCGATATAAAGAAAATTTTCTGTATCAGAAATTGGCCTGATGTAGCCAATAATTTGTCCAATAAATGCCCATGTGTGCACACAGCCACAGCACAGCATGTAGGTAGAGCAGAGCCAGCAGCGTGGAGTGTTGCCTGCAGCTGGTAAGTCCGGTGTGGTAGAAAAAGAAGGGGAAGGGAGATGGTGTGGGAGGGGGGCAGATCAAGGCCCCCATGCTGAGGGATGCTGTAGGGTTGGGGCAGGGGCTGCCCAGGAGGGGCCGGAGCAGGTGCAAAACAGAAGTACAGTTTGTTGGGGAGGGGCAGCTCCCACCATTCGTACGGTGCGGGAGGAGGGCGTTGTGTGCCCTTGGATCTATGTGGGGTGGGCTGGGGATGGACTCTTGCTGGCTGGGCAAATCTAGGGGCACATGCTTTCCTGGACCAGCTGCAGGAACTGCCAGATGAGCACCGGCTGAGCAGTGTGCAGGGGTGTGAGCCAAGCCGCCCTGCTCCTCCCCCTCGATGAGCCGCACCTCCGTCCCATTCCTGCCCCACACCATGCGGATCCAGGAACACGTGCCTGGCCCCCTGTACAGGCCTCTTACGGCTCTGTCCCACGCCCCTCCCCAGCTGGTCAGCACCTGCCTCAACCCCAGCTCCGTTCCGTTCCTCACCGCAGGGGCCTTGATCTGCACATACATCCCACACACCTTCCCTCCCTTTCTGCCGCACCAGACTTACCACCTGGATGCAACTTTTCAAGCTGAGGAGCTGTATATCAGAAATCAGATCAGCCAATATGCCTCCTTAAAAATTGGCTATTGGCCCCAAAAATCTGTATCGGTGCACCCCTCAGTTTAATGTAATAAGCTAATTCTATTCTCTAAAGTCGAATGTCAAATTTTTCAACTTCCAAGAAGCTAGAGAAAAAGGATAAATGTGCCTATACTGGCAAGATAATTCTCCCTATTTACATTAGCTCTTTCACTGTTGTGTCCAAGTTTTCTTGGTGTAGAAAAATCATTTGATTGATGAAATACAGATTATTTTTATTGCCTTCATTGTCTAATCTGTTTAAGGAAGCTTTGTGCTCATTGACCCATAATGTTAAAGTGTTCAATGCCTGGACTGTGAATGCATCTTTCTTTTTGATTATCCCCAAACTCAGTAATCTGTGGCCAAAAACTGGTGTAATGGTAATTGAAAATTCTCAGTGTAAGCAAGGAATGCCGATTGGCTTTTGTGTAGTAGAGTCTGTGACATTCAAACAGGGCTAAACTCCACCTGTTATAATTATGATTTCTTTTTCTCTGAAACTGTTCAGATAATTCAGGTGTAGATCCCTTATGTTAGTTAGAGCTTTACTCCTAAATCTGGTAATTTTAAATTGATCATACATTTTTTCCATTAGAAATGGCCACATAAATCATTTTTTTAAATAGCCTGTTGGTTTTTTACTTTGGTTGCAATTTTCCATGTGTGTTTTCATAATTGCATGTCACATTTGTTAAATCGGTGATGCTTGTTATATGATGTAGGGGGACCTGGTGACCCAGATTACCAACTGGCCAATTTTTCCGTATTTCAATTTTTATGATCAGTTACATGAAACAGTTTAATTGTGTGGTTCCCAACCCATGGCTCACAGGCAACATGTTATCCATGAGAGACTCTAGTGTTGTGTACAGTTAAGATAATTTAAAACAGCTTGACAGGGAGAGCCAAGTATGATGTATGCTACTTGCTCGGTGTTGCACTTGACAAATTGAAGCTTGGGCAGCCTTCGTTTACCAAGAGAACAGGATCTTCAGTAAAGCAGCTGAAGAGTATTAATATCAAGTATCTCACTGCTTCAGGGACAGAGCAGTTTCGCGGGGTCCTGATCTTCGGTTGAGTAGCATTTCACTAGTAAAGATTTCCCCCTCTCCTCCCACCACTGCCCCAAACTAGAGGTGCAGCGGTATATTGATTACCTATCAGACTGGCACTGATGAAAGGGAAATTTACATTTGTGGCTTTTTTTGGGCATTGTAGCCGATAACGTTCTCCGATAACTATAGCTGCTGGCCAGGGCCCCAGGATACGTGGGTTCCCTCAGATGAGTCGAGGTGACCCCAGATACACCCCCATCCCCCCCCCACTGTCATTCTAGGGTGGGCTGGAGTAGAGTAGATGCCTCAGCGTCCCAAATGCTGGTGTGACACAGACTGGGGCCAGTGCAGGCACTGTAAAAGGCGCTGAATGTCATAGACATGACTGGGGCGAGGAGGGGCAGGTGGGGCTGAGCTGCCTGGACTGGCCCAACGAGAGACAACCTGCAGTTAATATTGGTTATTGGATCAGTATCGGCCAATATGGCTGGTTAATAATTGGCTATCGGTATCAGCCAAGAAAATCTTTATCAGTGCACCCCTACGCCAAACTACAAATGTACTTGTGTAGCTAGGAGCCCTTGGCTTCAGATGCAAATATTCCTGTTGCATACTCCAAATGGTGATGTTCTCTTTAAAGTAACAAGAGATAGGTAAGTTTCTGTTTGCTTACTGTCCTGAGCAAAGTTCAGCCATGATAATTTTTTAATGGGGATAAATTACTGATGTAGTCCCAGAAAGACCATATACTTTCACTGTGCACATTTTTTCTTGCTACAGTTGCTTCTAAACCATAGGAATGTGCAAAATGACAGCTCTGAATACATACTTTTTAATGACTGTATTAAGTTAATTAGAACTCAAATAGATTAGCAGATTTATTTGAAAATATTCAAATGGCAAATGTTACTCTGAGGTTGTGCACTAAAAATTGAGATAAACTATTGTTCATGCTAAACAAAGCAGGAGTTCAGTTTAAGTGCAAAATATAGGATACCACTATATGTCAGTTTAAGCCAAAACTTGAAAGGTTTGTTACAGAAATGTTAATCAGGTTTTGTATATCCGTTTTGAAAGGTTAATTGTGTAGAAAATGTTTATGATCAGCATGTCTTTAATATTGTATCATAGGTGAATCTGGATTGGGAAAATCTACGCTAATAAACAGCCTATTCTTGACAGATCTCTATCCAGAAAGAATAATCCCAGGAGCGGCTGGTAAATAGATACTTTAGTCTTTTAACTTGTCTTCTGAGTTGAATGGTTATGTATCTCTGGATCTTGGTGAATGCTGGTATCATCTGTGAGTGGAATACTTCAAATACCTCTTGAACTGTCTGCATTGGGAGAGGCCCAGTTGCTCATTAACCAGAGGAGGACGGAAGTAGTGTATTTCACAGTGGGTATGAGCACCTTGCTCCTGTCAGTCAAATCAAATTAGGAATGATATTAATCAGTACCAGAAACTCTGCCCAGCTGTCTTGGAAAAAATGTCACTATGAGACGAGATGTAGTGGGCTTTTAAAAAAAAAAAAAAAAAATCAGTGGTAAATTTTGCATACTACCCTATTTATGGGCACTCTAAACAAATACATTTTGCCTTTGTTTGGGCTTATACCAGGGGTGGGGAAAATATGGCCCACAGGCTGGATTCTGCCTGCCAACTGTTTGGATCTGGCCCTCCAGCAGGCACCTGCCAATTGATTATATCCAACCTGGTTGCCTCCACAGCAATCCGTATGGGACTGAGCCCTGCCCACTCCTGCCCACACCTATCCCACACTCGCCAAACAGCACCACCCCAACCCCAGCCACCATATATAGCTTCCCAGTGGGTCTGCTTCTCGTGCAGTTGCAGCTGTCCTGGTATTGCTCAGCTCCCTTTGTCCCAGCTGTGCCGCTGTAGATGGGCATTACAGGGAAGCCTTGGGGGCACATATGCCAGACACCACATACCCAGCCAGGGTGGGGGAAGCTACCACTGGGTGGCTCCTGCCCCAGCACGCAAGTATCCAACTCCAGTTCCCGGCTGTCTTCCACCCACTCTATCAGCCCAGGATGATGAGCAGCCACCTGTGACAGTCAAGTTTGTGGAAGGCTGCTTGGAGCTGGAGCCCCACGCGCTGGGGCAGGAGCTGCCCAGCTGCAGGTTCACCCCTGCCTGGCTGGGCATGCACTGCCTGCAGTAGGAGCAGGAGGAAAAGGAGGAGGAGCTGCTGGAGTCTGGGGAAGCCAAGAGTGGCTGCAGCCATGCTGGAAATAGCCCTGCTGGGAAGCTGTGCATGCTAGATGGGGCTGGGACATTGCTATCTGGTGGGTGCAGGGTGGGTGTGAGCGGGAGCGCAGCATGAGCTTCTCTGGGAAGGAGCAGGCAGGCCTCTGCCCCATGGGGAGTACCACAGGGCAGCCTCAGGCCAGATTGAGGGGAGGCAGAGGATCAACCGTACTTGCACCCTGCCTGGGCAAAGTCTGCTGCAAGCACCCACTACCCACCTCTCCCTCCCTCCTGCACCCCTGACCAGCTCCTGGTATGTAGCATGTACACAGCATCCCCTGCACATGCACACATGTGCCCTACGCCCTGCCACATGCCCACCCGTCACCCCCCCACACACACAGTATACAAGAGTAAAACTTTATTTTGAGCTATTATACAATTGCCTCTATATACACTACTCAAACATAAATCAAGACAAAAACTATTTTTTTGAAATATTATTAAAATATGTTATAGTAGATGTTTGATTTTTAGTATATGATTTGTTTTTTACTTATAGTTTGTTAAAATGATATCTTCTGAAAGATTCTATGTGTGTGGTCCTCTGCAACTCACCAAAACTCGTTAAATTGTCTTTCAGCCAAGATAATTGCCCACCCCTGTTTTACACCCTGGTTTCTTTCCTTTGATAAACATGATGCTAATGTATGTTTGTTTTTTCTGTTCATGCTTCCACTGATTAGGATGATGCTATCTGAATTGCATTCTCATTTGGCACATCTATGCTACTCTTCCACTCCAGAAATTTGATGCTTTTGAAAGATATTTTCTGTTTTTCTTTTCTCCGTGGGAATATTTTCGTCCGTGCTCCTAGATGCACACTTCCAATTCTTGTTGAGTGACTCATTTTTATTAGCTCACCATGTCAGAGGATGCAGTCTATCGCTTTCTTCCAGTATGAGAAAAGGAACTTCCATATAAGGAAGAATATTGTCCCTCAAGGTGTACTGTGTATTGTCCCTCAAGGCATTCCTCGTTGCTTATGATCTTACCCAGCCCCTGTTGCTTGGTTTTCTGCAGCTGATTTACAAAAATGGGATAAACCCTCATGTGTACCTCTGTCACTTCTCTAGAAAATTCTAGACGTGTTTGAATCTCCTTCTGACATTGTACTCCAGTCCAGTTGTGGATTATTCCTGATCTTGTCTCAGAAAATAATAAATGTGTAAGACTTTTTTAAGATCTAGTTCTTCTCTTCTAGAGAAAATAGAAAGGACTGTGCAGATTGAAGCCTCAACAGTTGAAATTGAAGAGAGGGGAGTAAAGCTCCGTTTGACAGTTGTGGATACACCAGGATATGGTGATGCCATCAATTGTCGGGACTGGTATGTACCTGACATATATGCTGACCTATAGAGAAGGTGATCTCCATCCCTTCTCAATTTAAAAAAAGGTCATTCTTATTCACTGATCAAGACTTAAATCCTTAGTATCAATGTGCTGTAGCTGCCTTGCATAGGGTAATGTAAACTTATAATCAGCATACCAGTAGTGGCACCTGTACAGTGTAATTTCTTTACAGCCTAAAAGGCAGATTGTATTTCAAATTTTAGTTCCTATATCATACAATTTTTAGAGAGAAAGATTTGCCTTATTACTTGAAACAATTTTTGTTTCGGTGTCCATGTTTTAAAAGCTCATAATTTTTACATATTCATTCTGAATAGTCCAGATCACAAATGTATCTATACATGAAAGCTGTTCCTGATTTAGCTTGAGCATTTTCTGGTATTAAACTAATTCAAAATATGACACTTATTCCAGAATAAGTGGTGTGTTCATGGAGGAAGCTAGTGGGGAAACTAATGCATTATTGTTTCAGAATAAATTGTGTATTCTTGAAAGAACAATAACCAACTCTCTTACAATCATTATAAGATGCATTAAAAGATAAAAATCAATACTTATAGAAAGAATATTTGCATTTCTCACATTTTAAGGTATTTCTAAAAGTAAAATAACTTGAAGTGTCTCTGAACTTTATCTTTGGCTTACCACAGGTTATTTTTTGTGTCAGATCAAATTTGGTGTACTGCAACCAATTCATATTCTGTTGTATATCTGGTTTCTTGTAAAGGGAGATGTCCCCGACGGGCCTTCATAGATCCCTACCAGTAGTTTAACTCCCTGTTCTGGTGACCACCCTCTTCACCGAGCA